GGTGCTACACAACCTTAATTTTAATACTTAACAAAAACAGGGATGGAGAGGTGGCTCAGCGGTTAAGAACACTGGTTATTCTTGCAGAAGACCCGGGTTTGAATCCCAGCACCCACATGGCAGCTAACAACTGTCGGTAGCTCCAGTCCCAGACAGGGGATCTGACAGCCTCTTCTGACCTCCATGGGCAGTGCTGGACACGGGTGCACTTACCTACATGCAGGCAATACATGCATACACATAAAATTTTTAAAAACTAATTAAATTTTAAAAAAAGAACAAAAATACACAAGCACACACACTAAATGTAAACGTGTTAGCCCTGAAGGAAAAGGTTTTCTTACATGTCACCATCACTGCCGAGAACAGCGCTGCAAGGAGATGTGCCGGTGATGCCGCTGCCATGCTGAGGGAGCTGCTCTTGGCAGACTCATTGTCCTTTCCCTTCCTCTGTGTTTCTGAAAGGCTGTTTTCCCTTCCTGATCATTCTGCAATATTATATCCCCTCTCTTTTACCTGGTATTTTAAATTTGAAACAGAAGCCCAGTGTATATGGTTAAAATGTTAACTGCTAAATAATCTATCTACAGATTTACAAAACCTAATCACCTGTTGATCTCTGCACTGTCCCTCTATACTGTTTAGTTTTATGCAGCAACTAATACAAAGCATGTAGATTACTATAAGGTTTAATTTGACAAAATATAATCTGTCTGACTAAAGAAACACAGGAATTAAGCCGGGCATGGTGGTGCATGCCTTTAATCCCAGCAGCAGGGATGCAGAGGCAGGCAGATCTCTGTGAGTTTGAGGCCAGCCTGGTCTACATAGCGAGTTCCAGACCAGCGAGGGCTACAGGGAAATCCTGTCTCGAAAAGACCCCCCCCCAAAAAAAAAAGGAAATACAGAAAATACAGGAATTGGTCCCATTAGGACAATTCCAATGTCCTGTGGGGCTGGGACAAGGAGGGATGGGACAGAACGGACACTATGGATGACAACATTCACCTTAGCATCTCAGCATGCAGCCTTCCTCCTTTCCCTCTCTATAAAAGCCTTTTGCATGCTTGAGTTCACTAAGATGCAATTTTGAGAGACTGATATAGGTCCCTTGTCCTCCCAAGTTACCAGCTCTTAAATAAAACTGATTCCTTCTCACCAACTCGTCTCACGTGAACATTGGCTTTCAAGTGGTGAGTGGTCCAGACATAAGTCTAGTTGCAATCTGAGTACTGAGCCACTTACATGCAAAGCAGGGCAAAGCGTCCAAGAAGATGGATTCACAGGTTTCACCACCCAACACTGGACATAGCTTTTGGATCTTTTACTCACATGTACCAATAGTTGATTTCCCATCCTTAGACTTTTTTTCCAATGTTACATAAAAGATTAATCTTACATTGAGTTTGATAAAAGCTTACCTTTAATTACCCAGTAACATGGTTTTTGGAAAAGTTAAACACAAAACCATCTACTATTATTACTTGTAGATCATTTTCTTTCATAATTTAGTGTCAATGTGAAATGGTCTATTGATTTCATATCAGAAGAGGAGATAAAACTGGCCTCCACAGATTTCATTTCTGAAATTCTTTTTGTAAGATCATGAATCTCCAAGTCTAAAAACTGCTTGATAATCATGAAGTTGGATGCTATAAACATTTAAAGTCACAGACCATTATGTTTTAGAAAAAAGCCCTTCTCAACCCTGATATTTCTAAAATCCTCAATATCAATATGCAACCTACGGTAATTTAAATATCTATTGGGGTATGAAAACGTAAAGATACTTTAAAAGAATAAAATGCTTTAAATTCATGCTAAGAAAATGGAGGAATTTTAAACTTCTTAAATCCAACTATCTGACAATTCTATTCTGATCCTGAAAAGCCAATTGGGGCTGAGAGAAAACATGCAACAAGATGGCTGTCTTGACATTAAAGGCGTTTCTATGGATCTCAGTGGGTCCTCTGTTCCGTCTGGAAATCTTACCATAGTCAAGTTAATCCATTCCACTCATCTAAAGAGCAACTGCACACTTACTTCTCAAATACTAATACCACCTACCCCAGCATCACTCTCAGCTGCTGAACTTGACTCCTAATCCACTAAGAAAGTCATGAAAAGAGAGTTCCCATGTGCACCATGCACCACCATCCACATTCTATTGCATCTACGTCTACACTCTGTCCTCCCTCTTGTTATGATGACTAATGAAATGCACTGAGCACTTGGTAAGAATGTGTGACTTGTTCTGAACAGTGAAAAGTGATGTGTACAACTGCCAGCCTGGGGAGTGAAGATTCCATTTGTGATTCTCTGACTAATCTCTTCCTTCTCCTCCCCCCATCCCCATTCCCCTCCTCCTTGCTACTGAAAATTCTCTATGTTCCATCCAAATGTTCCAATCAGATAGCATCTCTAATCTACTAGTAATCCTTGAGGATGGCCAAAGTTTTCCCCACTAACACACATGGGGCATGTACCATGAGCAAGGAATAAATGTATAGGTTTAGCTGAGATTTTAGAGTTCTCAGGGATCCCATCATAGCCTAGCATCCCTAGGATGGTATTCCCCCAAAATTGCTCTCACAGAGACATATTCTCCATATCAGCAATACCTTCTTTCCACCATGCAGCCAAAGACCCTAGAATCAGTTTTGACGCATTTTCTCTCACTTTCCATATACGATTCATCAGTATATGTTGTGCCTTCAAAATATATCCAGAACCCAAGCACCTTTTACTGTCTTTAAGGCCATCTGGAACTTCAAAGGACACTGGTAAAAAGATGAAAAGGCAAGCCATATATACATATAATATATATATATATGATGAAGGGCTTTATATCAGAATACGTAGAATTTCCAATGTTCATTCAACTAAAAAAATGAGCAAAAGATTTAATAGGCATTTTGCCCAAGAAGACATATGGATGGAGAGTAAATAAGCACTTTAAAAATATTCAACACTTGGGACTGGGCATGGTGGCACACACATTTAATCCCAGCACTGGGGAGGCAGAGGCAGGCAGATCTCTGTGAATTCAAGGCCAGCCTGGTCTACATAGT